TGACTGGGTGGATGGTAGTGTGTGTTGCTGGGGGTGGGGGTTAGTAGACAGGTGACTGGGTGGATGGTAGTGTGTGTTGCTGGGGGTGGGGGTTAGTGGGCAGGTCACCGGGTGAATGGTAGTGTGTTGATGGTGATAGGGAGTGGAGGTTAGTAAGTGGGTGACCGAGAAGAAACACTACCACACGTTCCTTGTCCTTCCCCACCCACACCCACCCAGCCCTACCCACCCACACCCACAACCCATCCCAACCCCATGGAAATTCATTGTAGGTATTTTTTAAATTTTTAAATTCTTTCTTTGATTTTATTAGCTTTTAAAAGTTATACATACGTGTTTAGCGTTCTAAATGGATTGTGTCGGGGTGGGTGGTGTTAACCAATTAAGGTTAAGATTGTATCGTAGTAATCAGACGTACTTCGATTGCCAGCTTCAGGTGAGCGAGAAACACTTCTTGTTATACAGCAACAACACATTTATGAACACAGAGAATTTTAAACCTGGGCGGGATGTGAACCTGCAGCCTTTTGATGTGAAGTCTTTCACGCTACTAAGTGTCAGTCTGCCTAGTCACAGGGTTTGGTTTCGTTGCACATGCTTATGGTGTACAAAGATCGTCGTAAGTTCTGATGACACGCATGTATCATCCAAGTGCCTTTGAATCTGATTTGTCCATCTAATTTAAATATATTTATTTATACATGTTATCCATTTTTTGCCATTGCGTAACGATATGCATCATACCGAAACAGGTTTAAAATCGAAACATGTTTTAACTTTAAATATGTTTAAATTTTAAACATGTTTTAACTTTAAACAGATTTACAATCGAAACATGTTCAAACATGTGTAAAATCGAAACGTTTTAACGCGTTTTAATTCTGAACATGTTCAGATTATGGGGATGTTGTGTTTAGGTGGTTTTTAGGCTGTGAGACGATAGCTCATTTCATGTGTTTAGACCTAAACGTTTGGATAGAACACAAATGTGTATTCCGTTTGGGTATCATGTTTAGGAATCATTCCGTTTAGGAATTATTCCTAATCATGTTTAAATCTAAACATGATTTGGATGTGTTTACATTCTAAAAACATGTTTACAGTGCAGTAGAAGGCAAATGATCCAGCTCTGCACCCAATGTAATAACATGATAGATTATAAAGAATCTGCAGCCAATGGAAGTACATGTGAGAGCATTAAAACGGTTCTGCAGCCAATGGAATTACACGTGAGAGTATTATAACGGTTCTGCAGCTGATGGAATTACACGTGAGATTATTATAACGGTTCTGCAGCTGATGGAATTACACGTGAGAGTATTATAACGGTTCTGCAGCTGATGGAATTACACGTGAGAGTATTATAACGGTTCTGCAGCTGATGGAATTACACGTGAGAGTATTATAACGGTTCTGCAGCTGATGGAATTACACGTGAGAGTATTATAACGGTTCTGCAGCTGATGGAATTACACGTGAGAGTATTATAACGGTTCTGCAGCTGATGGAATTACACGTGAGAGTATTATAACGGTTCTGCAGCAACAAACGACATGTGAGAGTATTGTAACGGCTTTGCAGCCACCAAAATTACACGCTAGGGTATTATAATAGTTATTTAGTTATAAAAGCGGCCAATGAAATTATATGTGAAAGTATTGTAACAGCTTTGCAGCCCCAGAATTACATATGAGAATATTACATCGACTCTGCAGCCGTAGCACTGTATTGTAACGGTTCTCCGGCCAATACAACTGGTCATGGATAGTTCGATCAGTTCGTGAGTGAGTGAGTTTGATTTTACGCCATTTTTAGCAATATTCCAGCAATATCACGGCGGGGGACACCACAAATGGGCTTCAGACATTGTACCCATGTCGGGAATCGAACCCGGGTTTTCGGCGTGACGAGCTAACGCTTTAACCACAAGGCTACCTGACCGCCCCTATAGTTCGATGAACAGGGAGGACATTGCAACATACGTCATGAAACACCCCAGCCAAAGACCAACACCCTCCTCATGATAGCAATGCATCTGGAACACCTGCCTGGAAACAAGCTGATTTAACATGGCGTATAATTTGGCCGCCATAGTTGCATCTGCATCAGGATGCGTAAGAATGAACACAGCCGTGGCAGCAAGCGAGGGAGACGTATTCAAATCTCGCAAACCATATATAACCTCAATAGCGGAACTTACCTCCCCTTGATTATTCCTCTTCCGCTAGGAGCAAGCAATTTCCTTTTAATTCATAGTGCGACCGAAGACAATATCTTTTTCTACTAGAATGTCAAAAATAAAGTAAAACCAAATACAGTTGGACCAACTGGGTAGTACACACCGAGAATAACAAAGAAAGTCTACAAGTCGGAGGGAAGAACCTTTTAGTCTGGTTTGAAGGCTAACTTTGATGTAACAATCTTGCATTTTCACTCTGCCAGCGACCATGCCAGTATGCCATTATTGGCACCTGCTGAAGCTCCGCTACTCTGCAGAGGATGAAGACCATACTTCTTCATGTCTTGGAAAAACTTGAACGGGTTTTAAACTACTAAATCTCAATAACAGGACAGAACATAACCAACAAGGCTCCATCCCTGTAAACATCCATTTTAGATGTTTAATACAAACCGCCATATATGAGGTGAGGGGTTTAACGTCGAGGTCACGTGTGTGGTGCCGCTTGTACTAGTTCGGACTTATACCGATTTTATAGTGCTAGCCGAAAGAGATGCCATGCCGCAGTTTCAGATGAATACACCACCCAGACACAGTATACTGACTCCGAGCCGGCTAGTCTTATTTTAGCCTCTTAATGCCGAGAGCCAGACAGGAAAACAACAAGTAGCATATTTTAACGTCATTTGGTATGACGCGGCTGGGATCGAACCCCGGCCCTTCCGCTCTTTGGGCAGACGGTCTATTCCTAGACCACGGAGGCGGTCCGCCATATGCTCACAGAGAACAAATAAATATAATATAATACGAAACTGGTACGTACAATTGGTGGGTGGGGGTTGGGGTGGTGGTGGGGATGGGTGGGTATAATATCAGATAATGACCACTGCGACAGCGTATGAATGGGTATTCACCGCATTATGCAGGAAGGTTGTTAACAACACATAAGGAAGTTGAAATATTGGGACAGCGGATTGCGTCACAGTGGAAATAACCGCCTCCAATCTAATGAGCATTTAACACAAGCAATGAAGCCTGACGCAACACGCGCCCACTTCAGTTTAGCAACAGGGAAAGGGAAAACAAATCAAGCGGTGTGCTCACCGGGTTTTCCTTGTCAGAGGGCCAACTGTACTGACAGTACTTGAACAATTAACTACCTGTTGATCAAGTACAGTGGTTGAACATAGCCTCACTAACTGAAGCGGACAAAAGTTTTCTGACTGACGGTGATGTACCGAGTTCAAGTACAATCCTTGGCAGTGATCCTGCTTGTGTTCATGATAGGTAAGACTTGGTTTAGAAGTGAGTGAGTGAATGTGGTTTTACGCCGCTTTTAGCAATATTGCAGCAATATCACGAAGGGGGACACCCGAAAAGGGCTTCACACATTGTACCCATGTGTGAATCGAACACGGATATTTGGCGTGACGGGCGAACCCTTTCAGAACTAGGCTACCCTACCGTCCCTATGAGTTAGGGAGGGTATGCGGGGTGTGTGTATGACTGTGTCGCGACGTTAGTAAATATTGAATTATCTATTCCACGGGATTTCCTTATATCGCTGTTACGGAAGACCACACCTGTTTTTTCTTCGTTAGACTCAACGGATTCGCGTTAGCGAAAAAAGATTTTCGTGAAATTGTTCTGTAATCAAATTAAGTTTGAAAACAAAACGCCACCGTAAAAGGAGGTTTCATTCACAGTTTGGTAATTCGCGGCCAAAACAAACGAGACGTTTTTTAAATGTTGACATGTTACGAAATATTTTGCCAAGCCCTGAGATATATTTTACGTGCGCTTGACTGAGTAGTGACCATTTCACCCACGATAATATATTCCGAACACAACCATGTCATACGAAGGATATAAATAGAGTATAAATATAATAAACATGACAGATTGGGATATCACAATCTTGAGATTAACAACATTAACTACCGCTTCCGTGGTGTAGTGGATAGAGCGTCTGCTTGAGAGCGGAAGGTAGGGTGTTCGATCCCTTGACCGTCCCAGCCATCTAGGAGTCATCTCGTGCGCGCGTGTGTGTGTGTGCGTGCGTGCGTGCGTGCGTGCGTGCGTGCGTGCGTGCTCGCGTGTGTGTGTGTGTGTGTGTGTGTGTGTGTGTGTGTGTGTGTGTGTGTGTGTGTGTGTGTGTGTGTGTGTGTGTGTGTGTGTGTGTGTCCTACTGTAGTGCAATAGTCCGTGTGAAACACTGCACTGCAGGTTGGGTGTAACATATACATATACAACAACAGCACAACTCTTCCTGCAGTGAGTGAGTATTGTTTGACGCCGCGTTTAGAAATATTCCAGCAATATCACGGCGGGGGACACCATAAAACTATTCTTGTAAATCACACAGACAGATGTGTCAAATGTGTCAAGCCCGACCCGGAAGTGTCCAACACTTCAGACTTCTAATCATTAAAACCCTCAGGTGAGTCAGTGGGATCTCCCACCGACAACACATATCAGTTGTGTAATCATTGGGGACGTTTCCTCATTCCAGTCCGTTGACAAGTATGATATAAAATCTTACACCACACAAAAAAGTCCTGAGTTCTAAACTGACACATTTCTACAAACAAACAATACCTTAAATGTATATCACATTTCGAACATTGCGTCATTATATGTTTCTCCGTATGGGTTTAGGATTGCGGCAGGAAAGTTGTCTACGTCATTAAATCACGTGACTTTATTGAGGAAACTGTTAGGCATTTGAAAAGTTTAGAGACTCACAATAGAATATGCGTTTGGCAGGGAGCCAAATAGTTTTATAATCATTGATAATTTAACAAAGGCACCTGTGTCTCGACTTGTTGACAAAGCAGGTTGTGTACGCACAAAGTCATACACACTGGGTTTTCCTTGTTCGAGAGACCGCTAGATTGACAATACGCTGAACGGGTGACACCTGTCTGTTGATCAACTCCAGGTTGTGGTTGAACACGTCGCCTGTCCAACTGAAGCCGCACAGATTTTTACCTATGAAGGTGTTTTACCGACTTCATGTTGCGCCCTTGGCTGTTGTCCTGCTTGTGCTGATGATAGGTAAGATCTCATGATCAGAGTGAGTGAGTATAATTTTACGCCGCTTTTAGAAATATTCCAGCAATATCACGGCGGGGACACAAGAAATGGGCTTCAAACATTGTGCCCATTAGAGGAATCGATCCATGGTCTTCCACGTGACGATCGAACGCTTTAACCCTACCCCGTCATCGTCATAGGAATGTTTACGTACATTTTTTTCTTCACAGACTTACGCCCGCCAATGCCCGTACATTCCAGCCCATGCCCGTACATTCCAGTCCATGCCCGCACATTCCAGCCCATGCCCGTACATTCCAGCCCATTCCAACACATTCCAGTCCATGCCCGCACATTCCAGCCCATGCCCGTACATTCCAGCCCATTCCCACACATTCCAGTCCATGCCCGCACATTCCAGCCCATGCCCGTACATTCCAGTCCATGCCCGCATATTCCAGCCCATGCCCGTACATTCCAGCCCATGCCCACACATTCCAGTCCATGCCCACACATTCCAGTCCATGCCCGTACATTCCAGTCCATGCCCGTACATTCAAGTCTATGCCCACACATTCCAGTCCATGCCCGTACATTCCAGTCCATGCCCGTACATTCCAGTCAATGCCCACACATTCCAGTCAATGCCCACACATTCCAGTCCATGCCCGTACATTCCAGTCCATGCCCGCACATTCCAGCCCATGCCCGTACATTCCAGTCCATGCCCGTACATTCCAGTCCATGCCCGTACATTCCAGTCCATGCCCGTACATGCCAGTCCATGCCCGTACATTCCAGTCCAAGCCCGCACATTCCAGCCCATGCCCGTACATGCCAGTCCATGCCAGTACATTCCAGGCCATGGCCGCACATTCCAGCCCATGTCCATACATTCCAGTCCATGCCAGTATTTGCCAGTCCATGCCAGTACATGCCAGTCCATGGCCGCACATTCCAGTCAATGCTCGTACATGCCATCCCATGCCAATATACTCCAGTCCACGCCCGCACATGTCAGTTCATGCCAGTACATCCCAGTCCAAGCTCGTACATGCCAGTACATTCCAGTCCGTGTCAGTATATATTTCAACCATGATCATTTATCGACTGAGTAATTCAAATATCATGATATCTAACGTTAATGTCAGAGAATAACGAGTCTCGATTATCCTACAAAACACATTTCATTTGGCGTAAAAAGCAAAATAGCGGTGAAAATTATGAAGTGAATGGATCACTGAAAATCGGCGTTGACACCATGTGTTTGCGAAAAGGGTAAGCACGTTCTACCGGTAACACTCGCAGATGTGTACAGTACTGAGGTTCTGATGTTTAAAAATAAAGAACAAACGTTTAAGAAATGACAAAACGTCAGCTGTTACATTTTGAGTTGCGAATATTATAATCAATTCCCAGCTTCTTTCTCAGAGGTAACTATAGTAACAATTCTTTGTCGTAGTTGGTCAGTCACAAAAGCTCTTCATTTGAGACAGAACTTGTCTCGATCCGTTTGCAATTAGTTGCTTACAACCGTTTAATACACCGTTCGATCGTTCGTTTTTCGTCCATGCTTTGTTCGTTGTTCGTTCGTTCAATCGTTCGTTCGTTCATTCATTCATTCATTCATTCACGGCACCAGTTGTCAAAAATAAGTTCAAAGAAATTTCACGTACAAAAGCATATTCAGTAAAACGATAAAACATTTACTCTCCAGACGTAAGGGGAACGGGTGGCCCAGTCGTCAAAGGCGCCGCGATTCGCTTTGCCGAGTTGCGTCCCTTGGGCACGCCAGAAACCTATGATTGTTGGTTCGAATCCATATTCCTCGACCCGAAACCGTTCGCGCACTGCGCAATGCGGAATGGGCTGATCCTAGGTTACTGTTCTGTATTCTAGTTTTGGCTCAGGTACATTTATCTATAAAGAAGCGTAACTGAGGTACATATCTTTACCAACGATCCCTTCAGCCTCAATGACCCCAACTTGTTGAATTTCAAGTTGACACTGTAGACCAACTTCATACAAATGGTCTATGCATCACGTGTCATAACGTCTACATTTTGTCCACAGAATCCGCATCAGCGGACAAGAAGCACTGTGATGGTGGATGCAAGATTTCAGCTGGAGGTTTGACATGCCAAACATGCAAACACGGTTGCTATGGAAACCGTTGTTCTCAAAGGTGTCGCCATTGTGACAGTGCCGGGTGTGACAGACAGACGGGAAGATGTTACCGATGTCGCTCTGGCCACTATGGCGCAGAGTGTCACCGACGGTGCCCCTCGTGCCCTACAATCAACAAAGGGGATGCGCACTGCGACAGACACACAGGAGCCTGCATTAAAACATGTTCGAGGAGACAGTTCGGAACCCTTTGTAATAAAAGATGTTCATCAACGTGTAAACATTCCATGTGTCGCAAACAAAATGGCCATTGCTATCTGGGTTGTAAGGCTCGCTGGAAAGGACTCTACTGCAACGAGACGTGTACCAACACATGTGTCCGCGGTGTCTGTCACAACGATGGCGTATGTAAACATGGCTGCATATCTGGGTTCTATGGACAGCTCTGTGACAGGAAGTGTCCCCCCGGGCTCAGCTCTGGGTGTGACAGGCTGACTGGCTGCAGTCCATCCTGCAGTAACGGAACGTGCACGGACGGATGTGAGTAGTCTTTTTAATAGTTATTGTTATTGTTACTATTTTTGTTGCTGTTGTTGTTATTCTTGTTGTTACTGCTATTATTATTATTATTTTTATTTTTATTTTTTTCAGTAGAAGGTACTATCTACTTGCACATATAATTATTATTATTATTATTATTATTATTATTATTATTATTATTATTATTCAGTCATTGAATGTTGAGCTTTTTCCTTAGCTCTTTCAGTAGCGGGAACTGACCATATTATGATCAATTTAGATAAGTGTATATAGAGGAGACAGTCTACGTGGTCCAGAGGATAGCCTGTCTGCCAGGAGGGCTGAAGGTCTGTGGCTCGAACCCCGGCCACGCCATATCAAATGACGTTAAACGTTGACACTTGTTGTAACCCTGCCTGGCCCTCGGTAATAAAGGCATAAAACAAGGACTGGTAGGACTCTGAGTCAGTAGACGGATGGCCCACAATTCGCTGTGCGTCCTTTATGCGTGTCATAAACCTTTCATCGTGGGTTCGAATCCTCGAGCATCAAGTTGAAATATTGCGGCGTAACATCAGACTCACTCACACACTCATACGTTGCTCTTCAGGTGATGATGTGAGCACAGCAGGCGGAGATGAAGATGACAAACTCAAGTAAGAATGCTTATTGATTGATCCGAAATGTCTTATTTTGAGGTGATCCAGATCAAAGTACCTTATTGCATACAAGACAATAAATAATATATATATACAATGCATAATATGTGTCAATTTGGGGTCAACATTATGTGTGGGCGGTCGGGTAGCCTAGTGGTTAAAGCGTTCGCTCGTCACGCCGAAGACCCGGGTTCGATTCCCGACATGGGTACAATGTGTGAAGCCCATTTCTGGTGTCCCCCGCCGTGATATTGCTGGAATATTGCTAAAAGCGGCGTAAAACCATACTCACTCACTCACTCACTCAACATTATGTTATCAATAGAAGACACTGAAATATGTACCTGTAAAGTTTAAATTGAACAAGTGAACTATCTGATGACAACAGTCTCACCAAACTGTGTGCAAGTGTTTAGCAGAGATGTATTCCTTTCCTACATTATAGGATTCACGCATATATAGAATATGAAGCTCATCTTCTCTTTGTTACGTACAGAAAAGACAGTCTTAAATGGTTTGGTAGTGAGTCTTAGGAAGCGTATATCACCTTATATTTCTGTTAAATCTAGTCTAAACATAACCATTGTAATTCAAGTTAGTCTTTAAGTGATATGTAATTATCTGTATGTATCAAACAGTGTAGAAGAAACATCATTTGTTCTTGTAATTATTTGAACGGCTACTCTGATTGCCAAAACTTTGTTTTTTCAATTTTATTGAGAATCGTCTGCAGAAATATTGCAGAAACGGGAACTTTGCAATTTGCCACCTATAGAGGTACACATTATCGTTGGTGGGTGGGCTGAGCTGGGCTGGATGAGTGAGTGAGTGAAAGAGTGAGTGGGAATGGTTTTACGCCACTAACAACAATATTCTAGTAATATCACGACGGAGGTACCCATCTAGGGAATCGAACCCCGGCCTTCGACATGACGAGCGAACGCTTCAACAATAAGGCTTCCCCACCACATGTCAATGCATCTCCTACATTATAAAGTTCACTTCTACAAAATGAAAAAATGATTTTCTAATTTAGCCGCAAACTACTCATCGTGGGCGCTGGGATTGCTGCGATTACCATCATCATCATAGGATTGATCACTGCATGCTGCATTCACAAACACTACCGAATGGTTAACCTGAAAAGGTAGGTAATTCCCAAAACTCCACAAATGTTTATAAGTGATGTTTAGTGATTAGTGTAGTGTAGTGGCTACGACGTAGTATGCAAAACCACACCTATATCCCCCACATGACAGGAATATGGTACAATCCACCCCACGTTTGGAAATGTCCAAACTATAACATTTTGTACATGTTGGGAATCGAATCTTAGATTCGCAGTACGCTTTATCTATAAGAATTCCCCACTTTAATTTGCTTGTAATAGTATGAGAATATATATGCATGAGATGTGCGCCTTCAAAAATAAAGTCGTATGTAAAATGTTTTACTTTGCGATACATTTTAATATTTCCATTTTCTTGCAGAAAGAAACAGCATGGTAAAATAGCGTATATGGGGCTTGGGAGTCCAGTGTATTTGGGTGCGGTCTCAAGGGAAGTTAAACTGAAGCATTGAAATGTAATACGAAGTCAAGATCATCTGCTGGAAGTAAGCAAGATCATCAACGTCTTTAGCTTGGATCCGAAACTTCAACCATTCACAGCTTCTATATCTAGGATCCGAAACATCAAACATCTACTACTTCTATCCGAAATGTGAATTCAAGTGGCATGGAATGTTTCGACGTGTCCATAACATGGAGGATCTTTAAACACTGGTTTTCATAGACTGTATCTAATTGTTTTAACCTGATGTCAGTGTGCCTCTTGAATATGCCCTGATATGGCAAAATATCCAGAGAATGTGCCCTGAAGTGAGCTAATTATAGAAAATACGTTGACATACAATATACTTAATGAAAACGGAGCCATCCCGCTATCGTCTGTATGCGTGCGTGCATGCGTGCGTGCGTGCCTGCGTGTGTGTGCGTGTGTGTGTGATCGTGTGTGTGTTTGTGTGTGCGTGCGTGCGTGTGTGTGTTTGTGTGCGTGCGTGTGTGTGCGTGTGTATGTATGCGTGTGTGCGTGTGTGCGTGTGTGCGTGCGTGTGCGTGCGGACTCCCAGAAGGGACATTGTCGCAGTGTCACCATTTTTTGAAACCAAAAGATGTATCATTCAGACAGACAGACAGATTTATTCAGTAATCAGGCCTCCAGCCCATAATACATGTTGACATAATGTAGATCATACATGCTTATATACTATGGCGTTATGTTAAGACAAATAGTTTTAGAATACGTTAGAACAGTGATGAGTTACCTATATTCATAACTTTACATAGGAATAGTCCAATGTGTTTATAAAGTTCTTGAGGAGTTTGTTGACATAAGGTTTAAAAACTGTTGAAATGTGCTAAAGTTGATTTCACTTTCAGCAAAGCATTCTCTTCTTGCAGCTCGGTATCTGTCACAGATTGACAATACATGATACTCATCCTCAATTAGAGTTAAACCTTTGGAGTGGAAATACACACACACGTTCTTCATATGGGATTTTAGAATGTCTTCCAGTTTCAACTGCAAGTTTAAAGTTGTTACACCTGGACATACATATTAATCTTTTATAATAAACAGATATTTCACATGATAATAAGTATTTTTCTACATTAAGGGGGGATTTGTACTGTGAGTAATATTTGCATTTAGATGAGAGCTCCATGGAGAGATGCCAGTTTTGAGAAAGACAGTCATACATCCTCTGTTTAAATTTCATCATCAATAATTTGCTATCACCGCATTCCTGATTTATCCAAATAAAACCAAATCCATATTGAAACAGGATATTCCTGATGTGTGATGCCCATGTGGTTTTACCAGAGTCATCAAGTGACTTGAGCATACAATAGGACTGATATGGTAATCTTTGAGGCTCCATATGGATCACTCTGCACCAGTAACTCACTGCTCTGGACATATAATGATATTGAAGCGGCACTCTCCCACATTCTCCTAGAGCCATGTTGTTAAAATATGACTATATTTATTAAGTTTCAAATATCTTTTGCAAAATCTGTGATGCACTTGCTCAATAGTGTTACAGTAGTTAATTCCCCGTACTTCAGATCCATAGCATAAAATGGGAGTTATCATTGAGTCAAAAAAATTAAAAACTTCTCCAACAGGAATATATCCAAACTTTGGTTGAAATTGTTGAAGTGAGAATAAAGCTTTAATGGCTTGAGCGGCTAGACATGTCTGTGTTTTAGTCCATGAAAGTTTCGTTGTGAAGAGAGTTCCAAGATATTTATAACAACTCACTGTTTCTATTTGTTCACCTTTAAAATACCATTTCTCACATTTTCTCAGTGGGCCACCATTCCTAAACACCATAATTTTAGTCTTATTGAGATTTATCTTCATTCCTGTTGAATAACAAAATTCTTCTAGTACATTACTTTTCTGTTGAAGTTGATTTGTTGAATCTGACACAGCTGACACGTCATCTGCATACATCAATGCAAATATATCTTGAATATCACTAGTTATAAAAAATTTATTCTTCCACTCTTTTCCTCTGTCCTCACACAAGCAGAAAGTTTGGTGTACATAGATGTAATAAAAGTTAAGAAGTTTCCTCTGAGCCCTACATCATGAAGATTTTGAGAAAGAACATCATGATTTATAGCGTCAAACGCTTTACTAAATCTATGAAGCTGCAGTAAAATCTCCCTTCTTTCTTCAAAAGATATTTTGTTATCATTGCTTGCAAAGTGAAAATATGGTCCGCTGTTGAATATGTAGATCTAAATCCGGCTTGCGTGTATCATTCAAAGCGCGACAACCCACAATTGGTCATAACGTGTTGCGTTGTCGAGCTTTGGTTAATATAGTAAATGTTGCTCCCTTTTTTGTCAGGGCGACAATGTCCCTGATAGGATTCCATATGTGTCAATTCTTGAGAGTCCCGTGTATTACTGTTTCATGTAGCAGTTCGAGCATCCACTACAGCCACACAGCTTTTTGTTTGTGTGTCTGTTGGTTAACGCCGCACTCAGCAATATTCCAGCTATATGTCGGCGGTCTGTAAATAATCGTGTCTGGACCAGCCTGTTACGGCAAGCATGGGTTGCTTCTAACCCGGATCTTCACGGGTCGCTACACAGCTAATGAGGTTGGAAAGTTAAAAGATGGACTGCTATGGTTTCTTCCATATGTTGCTGGCCCAGATTATGAAGAAACATAAATTATTCCTTTATTAATATATCTTGTTGAATGTGCAAATGTAATAAATATTTTCTTTATTTCCAAGAATGACTGTGTTATATTATCTCAGCGAACCTCGCCAAGACCATGGCATAAAAGTAACACGTCAGCCTTGCTTGACAACGGTAAAAGAATCCATACTGAAACGTCGCCATAACAGTAAAATAAAGAAGTTGTTATCCTTAAAATGTGTCAACTTTGTAACACGTTTAGCACCAAATATTAAATGTCAATGCCTGATCATGAGAATAAGCACTCTCGATTATCTGCCGAAACAGATTCGATTGGGCGGAATGGTAAAATAGTGATGGTAATTACATGAAGGGATCCCTGAAAATCAGTGATGGCACCAGGTGTTCGCGGAAAGGTAATCATGTGCTGTTCTACATTTGGCACCCCCATTCTGCATAAAAAGTAAATGTAGGGTTGTTGCCGGACGCCGCACATCCAGCAATACTCCTACCACACGACAGGGACCTATGCAGAATCGAGTGTGGATCAGACAATCTGGCCTGTCTACCAGAACCCAGAGAATAAATAAATAACAGATCCGCCTCAAGTCTAGCATGATTTGCCTTGTCCAGATTGCCTCAGATCAAGGATTTATTTTTACTTTTTAACATGATAACTTTTATTATGGGATTAAATGTTATTCTACAGATAATCCTGTGGTACTGAGACTGGACCAAAAAATTCAATGACATGATAGCACGTTTACTTTGATAAATTCTGCAATGTAAAGGTAAAGAGAAACACTTTAGACATATGTACACAGTCAGTAAGAACAGTTTCAATGTGTCGACCCAAACACTTTTTAAATACTTGTTTTAGGTAATTGACTCAGTATTTATTATTGATAAATGTAACTGAGTTAATGACGAAACTCGGGGACTTCAGTCCACCAGCACAAATATCGACCCAGTTCAAGTAAATATAGGACGTCAACGCCAGAAGATAACCAGTCTGGATTATCTGCAGAAACAGATTCGACTGGGCGTAAAAGGTATGGGGTATAATTTCATATCTGTGTCGTTGAAAATGTCGAAGAGACTTCGAGCGATGACTTCGACACAATGAGGTATTCGGTCTGCTCGGATCGGTAAAGTCAGAACAAGATTATTTGGCCAAGACGATTCACGTTAAGTTTCAGGTTTATCGATGACTTGATATCGCTCAGTAACAATCAAATAGCCAATTCCCTTCCACTGATTGACCCACCTGTATTAGAAATAAAGGAGACCAGTTACACGGTTTCATCATTCGTCACCACTCGCCCCTTTCCGTAACCCGCAAGAAGACTCGTGTCCCTGTCGATGAATGTTGTGTGCGAAAATACGACAACCCAATCAGAATGCGCGTATGATTTCAAGTTCTTCGTCAAAGAATCCCTCAGAAAAAATTTTGATTTTATATATGCCTTGCATCGAAATACATACCCAAGACACAGTTAAATGTGTTCAATCATATTGTATAATTCCGCATGTCCCGGTGTGCTTTAAATTGCATCTGAAATATATATAATATATGGAGAAATATATGTCAACCATTACGCAACGAGTTGACAATTGTTTTAGGTATACCCGTTTGCGCTAAGACGGAACCCGGTCGCAAAAATGGCCAAGAGAGGGGCACGAGTCGCTATTCGGCTTGTCCCGGAATAACACGAGTTGGTCACGAATGACTGTTTCATTTGTTTCATATTCAGATCTATGGGGAGAAATTTCGATTCCTATGTATTAAGAAACAGATCAGCAGTAAGGGGGGGCACAACTGGTGCGCACAGAGATGCCTACACCTTGCCTGAATGTTCTACCCCAAAACGTCACATAGATGTTATCAATGAGGAAGCATGTCACATATTGTTTTCTAATAAACTTCAGATAACATGTGCTTTCATTTCAAAACACTCTGCTCCAGACTGTATGTCAAGAGGGGTGAAGTTGTTTCATCAAGGTCACAACATTCAAGGCCTCAGTAAAGCTGTCAAAAAGTCTTATGCTAGACAAATGGAGGACATTTCCAAATTTGACGCATCAGTGACAAAAATGATGTCGGATGCATTTCCCTACTTTGACTAATACCATATGTTTGTACCGTGTACCGTGGTTTGTTTTCAGGTGAATAATTGCCTTGCCTTAGCATGAGTTTGTGACGGTAGCCACCGGTGGGGCATGACCTTTTCGCGAACATCTGGTATGATCGATGTTTGATAGTGATTCATAAATACATGCTCATGATATAGTACAATCGACTCTCCTATTAGTTTGTTTGTTTGTTGTTTAACGCCGCACTCAGCAATATTCCAGCTATATGACGGCGGTCTGGAAACAATCGAGTCTGGACCAGTCAATCCAGTGATTGACATCATGATCATCGATCAACGCAATTGGGATCGATGACATGCATCAAACAAGTCAGCGAGCCTGACCATCCGATCCCGTTAGTCGCCTCTTACGACATGGGTTGCGGAAGATCAATGCTAACCCGGTCTTCACGGGTCAATACGATGTTTGATGGCAATATGTGGGTTACCACAGAATACTGATGTACTGGCGAATCTGATGGAGACAATATGTGGGCTGATTGCGTGATGGAGAAACAGAGACTGAATGCGTGGATCGTTGCTTGTGCTGACCACCATTGATTGGTCTTGTCCAGATTCGATCATTAAAGCAGCCGAGATATGGCTGTAATTTAGCTGACGGTGGTCAACCAACCATACTCTCCCACTTTACCTTAGGAGTGGGGCACGGGTGGCCCAGTCCCAAAAGGCTCCGGAATTCGCTGAGTTACGTCCCTTTGGCATGCCAGGAATCTATGATCGTGGGTTCGAATCCCGGTTTACCCCGATTATGTTTCTAGGTTTGTCAGCACCATACGCGTGGTCGTGGGGTTCACCAACGTGGTAAACGTCTGAGACCTGCATCACTTCGGGCCTCCCTCCCGAATCAAGCTGACCCACCGTGATATAACTGGAATACTTTTAAACTCAACTCACTCACCCCTTGTGTTAGATACGTCACGCCCATACAGGCGTGAGGCTCGAAGATCGAATAGGTCTCAAGGAACCTGATAATTGTAGTAAGCACAGAATGGGGGTCGATACAAAGATTCACCTGGCCGTGATTGGATGTCATCTTGCCTTGAATGTGTGGATGCGTGGATGTTTGGATGCTCATGCTATCAACCCTTGGTTTACATTGTTCATATCCAGAACACCTGTAGGGTTTACCCTGATGTTGAGCTCACCTGTAGGATTTACCCTGATGTTGAGCTCACCTGTAGGATTTACCCTGATATTGAGCTCACCTGTAGAACTTACCCCGATATCCAGAACACCTGTAGGATTAAACCTGATGTTGAGCTCACCTGTAGGATTTACCCTGATATTGAGCTCACCTGTAGGATTTACCCTGATATTGAGCTCACCTGTAGGACTTACCCCGATATCCAGAACACCTGTAGGATTTGCCAGATATCCAGAACACCTGTAGGATTTTTCCAGATATCCAGAACACCTACAGAATTTACCCCGACACCACGACACAGATTCAGAAAATGAATGAGCTGTCTTGTTGAATTTGAAATTGCAATATAATTGTTCTTTATTTTTCACCATGTGTTTGGTATAATTTCCAAAGTGAGTGAGTGAGTATGGTTTAACGCCGCTTTTAGCAATATATTCTAACAATATCACGTCGGGCGAGTCCAGAAATGGGCTTCACACATTGTACCCATATGCATGTCGGGAATCGAACCCGGGTCTTCGGCGTGACGTGCAAACGCTTTAACCACTAGGCTACCCGACCGCCCCTTTTTTTCCAAACGGTTTCCGGGAACACCAGCGTCAGTAGAAATAAGTCACACTACAAGACAAAGTCCGAAGCAGCACAACATGTGAAGCCCCTTTCTGGTGTTCCCCGCCGTGACACTGCTTGCACATTCAAAAAGAGGCGTAAAATCATACTTACTCCACCCGGACGTTTAACACGCTGTTAGTTGTACACGTTCTGAGTCAGTATACTGTGTCTGAGGTGGGTATTCATGTTAAACTGCGGTGTGGCATTTCAGTGGGCTAGCGCTATAAAAACCGAAATTAGTCCAGATCATATTGCTTCATAGTGTGTTGGAAACTGTGCATGTATATCCAGACAGTGTGAACAATGTCTGTGGTGCTCACACAGTGACTCGCTATCACGCTATGAGACGCATTCGTACATTATCGTCACGCTGACCTGGGCAGTGTACTTATTGATTGTACCGGGATTATCTACCCTTCGATCAAATAACTACCACCAGGGGAACTCATATCCGGTCGAAACTGTGACCTCACAACACATGCATCGTGTGTTCGTTGTGGGTTGTTGTGACACATGGAGCACCACTATCTGTCACTGCTGTTGATTTTATACGGTTCAGGTATTTTCAATATAAATAATATTGACATTATAATATATATTTAATATTTTGTTTTAAGATATGTTTGTTGTTGATTGTTGTGTGTTATTTGGAAAGTTGTCAGTTATTGTATATCACTATCAGGGGCGGTGGGGTAGCCTAGAGGTTAAAGCGTTCGCTCGTCACAACGAAGACCCAGGTTCAATGGGATACACCGCCCATATTAGTAGTTATAAGGGTCCGGTTATAAGCCACAACGGGAAGTCAGCTTTCAAAGTGGCGCCTTTCGAAGATTCATTCTACCGTGATCAACTATGCCAAGATCAGCTGAAGATACTGCTCTGTTCCGGGTTGTAATTTTTTTAATAAGATTGGAGTACATTAATACCCTTCGGACCCCGACCTGCAACAAAAGTGGCGCGTGGTCGTAAGAAGAGTTGATGTTGCGACAAAGAATCTGTGGAAGCCAGTGACAGGCGACGTTGTCTGTGGGGCTCACTTCACTGATGATGATTTCGTGGATACATTATTAGGTTCGTAAAAAACAGTATTATTTTGTCTGTTGAGAATGATGAATAATTAATGATTCATGGTTTTCTTGCTGTTTTTTTGTATTTTGGCAAAGAAAACGAAATAGCAGAATACGTTAGCCTATAATAAATATCGATTAGCCAATATCCTTATGCCACGGGTAACTGGGCCCTGTTTATGGGTGCAGGCTAAAACGGCACCTCAGCAAAACGTCACCGATTTCTCTGGCGAAAACGGCTACTATGTGACGGGCGAAAACGGCACCTCTATTTTCAATAACGAAAGAACGATTCATGTAGGAGTGCCAATTTAGCCTTGTTCATCAGCTGTTCATTCACAGACCCAAACATTAATGAATATACATTTGATTGTGTATTTATCTATGTTATTATCATGATTATGTAAACAATCTTTGTTTTATTAAATATAACTATATATGAAGTAGATCTAAATATATTCATAGACAAAAAAAGACTTATCTAAATGTGATTTATTTAAAATATGTTGAATATTATTGTAATAGATCTATAAAGAAAAAGATCTACTATGATGATCAAAACCTAGGTATGTATCTGAAGGTTTTTTATAAAATTGAAAGGGGCGGTCGGGTAGCCTAGTGGTTAAAGCGTCATGCCAAAGATCCCCGTTCGATTCCCGACATGGGTACAATGTGTGAAGCCCGCCCCCTGCCGTGATATCGATATTGGTGGAATATTGCTAAAAGCGGTGTAAAACCATACCAACTCACTCACTATGAAACTTAAAGAAGCACATGCATGGTAGTGCAGAAGCATGTTTGGTCATAGCCAAGATCCGTGATGGGGTCCTACAGTCAAGACATGACCCTACATGTCTTTACTGTAGGACCCCATCGCGGCTCTCTCCTAGTTTGGTCAGTGTTTGCAGTGAATTCAAACCCTATAGTACATGTGATCAAGTTTCTGCTTGCATGAACATGATGAAGCAATGTAAAGATATTCCATATATATATATATATATATATATATATATATATATATATATATATATATATATATATATATATATATATATATATGTAATGTACAAACACACTTTGATAATGAATATCATAAAAAAGACTATGAATGTGTCTCTCAACTTGTGTATTGTTGATTTATGCCATGTTTGCAAGTGAATGTTGATATGGTGATTGCATGGTTGATTCATTGTTAATGTTTGTTCTTGTTGCTTTGTGTTTAATTCCTGTTTTTAAGGAGCCATACAAATGATGACAAGCCTGAAGCTTCCGACAGAAGAATTACTCAACGAGGCCTGGGAAACTCAGTTTTGTACAATTTCCTATTATTGGTAAACTCTATAAGTAAATCACTGGAGGAATTTGAGGTAGATCTACATGTAACATTACTTCAGTGTAATAATATTTTCACCTGCATTTTCATATAATTAATAAGGCTTAAAAAAATTTAAAAGCTACATGCGGATTTTCTTAAGAGGAAAATCACCTCAATGTGCATTTGTTTCAATTTCAATTCATTGAAACCTTTCATTTTTCTGTAACTTACGTTATATGTATTTAACATAAGGTGTATCCAGGCAGCTGCGGTTCTCTCCATCTTCCTACATACATCATGTACCGGTACATCGACTCGACCAAAGAAGGCACATCAACTCCAAGAAGACCCCGACAAAGCTATATGGAATATGCAGTCGGAGGTGGAAATTGGTAGCAGAGAGGATCACAAGCCCAAGCAACTTGAATGAGCCTCTTGAAATATGCCAAAGTAACTCTCAGTCTGCTCAGTGCAGTTTGTTAGGAAGTTGTTCCATAGAAACCTACATCAATAATCCCAAAGCTGTTTTGTACTTTGCTGGTTTCCAAGATTCTGACCATTTCATGTTTTTCTTTCACTCGCTTGGTCCAGCAGTTTTTGAACTGAACTATCAGTGTGAACTCTTGCACCCAAAATACCAATTGTTTTTAACTCTAATGAAATTAAGACAGGCCAAGGATGACATAGAATTAAGTTTCTTGTTTGGCATATCATCATCCACTGTTTCCCAAATTGTAATAACATGGATCAATTTCTTATATTTCCAACTGAAGGAACTACAGATATGGCCATTAAGACCACTGTTGATGATCACATGCCAACAGATTTCAGAGAGAAGTTTAAAAAACACTTAGTCATTTTGGATGCAAAAGAGATCCCAGAGACCATCGGTATATAGTCTCTCGAGATCCCAATAAAAAAGCCATCTCATGTTCATGCTCAGAGCATGACATGCTCAAGCTATAAGCATCAAAACACATTGAAAACCATCCTCGGATGCACACACAGAGGGCAGTCTCATTTATTAGCGAATCTTTTGGGGGAGTCTGCAAGTGACAGACAGATCTGAGTAAGACATCCAAAATTCTGAAAAAACATCTCCCACAAAGTAAAGCAGTCCTTTGATCGCGGATTGTTTATGTTTTGCGATTTCAAATTTCAGAAATTCCATTGTAAATGAATTTGCTTGAAGCATCTCTTCTTCGTGATATCTGTGACTGAAATTTGTAGTAGTAGAAGTTTATTCAGTAGAGTGAGTGATTGAGAATTGTTTAACACCGCTTTAGCAATATTCCAGCAATATCATGGCGGGGTACACCAGAAATGAGCTTCACACATGGTACCCATGTCGGGAATCGAACCCGGTTCTTCAGCATGACAAGCGAACGCTTCAACCACAAGGCTACCCCACTACGTTATTCAGTAGTAATAAAATCAGTATGGTGACATGGCCTATAGTACAGTTTTCCGTAATAGTAAGTGGTCATGTGAGAGATCGTAATTTCTAAACATGTTTCATATACAGAGTAACAGATTTATGGAGACATACATTTCTTGTATTTAGCAAATTGGCCATTGAATGAGTGTTGTTAAAGCTATGAAAAGTTATTTTAGCCTTATCCCACTGAAAAAAATATTCATACAAGGCTAACCTTACATTTGCATTGGCTTCTGGCTTTCAACTGTGTGTGACAATCTCCTTACGTCCCAAACAGTTTAGAGTGTAACTTGTGTCACAAGCACAAGCATGTCATATTAAAATGTGAATCTCTCTTGTGTCAAAGCAACCGCTTCTTTTCAATAGCTATTGATGCATCTGGTGAAATGCAAGATGAAGGTGACGTGCTGTCATTCTTGTTTGGTGGTATTACCACATTTAGTCAAACAATTGATTGGCAAACCCAAACCACAATATTTTAACTTTGCCAATGACTTGTAATACACAGCAGATTATTATTTCTAACTGTACTGTATGTACACCTGAGCTCAATGTACCGCTCCACTGATACTCTTACAATGTGTATGTACATCGTGTAAACAGGTTGTAAAACTGTTCAGTGAAATCTGGAGGAAATTCAAACTGTCTCTCTTGACTATCTTAATAAAATAATATATGTATATATGGAAAATTATTTGAGTACTGTGTATTTTCTTCAAAGGGTATCTTCATGAATCTTCAGCTTTACACCTAACTGTCTTAATGGTAGCTAAATCATATTGGACATGTGCATGATTTACAATTCAAATTGCTTATTCATTGCAAATATAGATCAAGGCACAGAATATGCATGATGTATGTGATATAATAATTTGTATTACGGTATTCGACGTAATAAGTGCCCCGCTCTAATAAGCGCCCATGGCGATATTTGCTAATACATTGTCTAGCGAACAATCCCAATTAGCACCCCTTCCGATTAATCAATGTACATAATACGCACTCGTGTGTTATATGCACCCTAATTATGGGCAATTAAATTCTAGAAAAATATATCCGTCATATATAAACATTTCAGGCTGTCAGCATAAACCACGAAATTTCTCTTTCAACTGGTTTTTTTCACCAATATATTTTAATAAGATCCCCCTATTTCTAATTTTGAGAGCAGTAATACGGTAATATCACATTTGATGTTGACATGAGCATGCAAAACAAATTGATATTTGGAAAAGATGTAAACTTATTTGGAATTTGTTTTTCTTAAATGATACAGAATTTACACCCAACCATAAAATAATACTTTAGTTATAAACACTGACTAAGAGTCACCATTTCTCACATTAAGTTACCAAAATGTTGATTTGACGCTGGAGACCAATTACTGAATAAGAGAAAAGAACATCATCAACAAAAAGTCACAGAAATATTTCTAATAGATCTGGATATAACTGTATGACAGTTTTACATTTTGAGTTAATTTCAAGAATAAGACAATCTGAATGGGCTTAATTCACAAACTTGACATTCCCAAAGGGCAATGAAACATACATGTAAGGTTATTACCATTGGTACATACACAAGCTCAGACTCATAAATGCCTTAATGATTTTTCCAGGGAAAAAACCATGATTTACAATGTAGAAGCAATGTATGGTCTTAGATGTTTGGTATAGAACAGTTCAAGTTTGGAATTAATGAGTACTGACAGAAATCTGTATCAACACTGATCTTTTCTACAAACATGTCACAGAATGTGTAAACAACAAAATAGCAAAATCGACGCTTTGCTAAGTACATCTGTCCCTGTACCTGACAGTAGTAGTGACTGCTGGGATTTAAACAAATCTGATTGTTTACATTGTAATGAAGATATGGAAAATGTTTACCAGGTTTAATGTGATCATTCCTTCCAGCATATGGACATTTCACCTCAACCAAGTTATCACCACCAGTAATGGCATCTGGCGTAGCACCCAGATAGGGTTCAGAACAGGAAACACATAGACCTGCCTTTTTTGTTTTGATATTGAACATGGTCTCAAATTTTGAAAGTGCTCTTTTCTCATACTGCTTTCCATGAATTACAGGTTTACATGATAATATATTTGAGGACACAATTGATTTGCATAACTTCTCCAAATTCTTCGGTTCATGATTTTGGTCACTTCACCAAACCTTGAGTTTGTGGCGCCACTTTCTTTCTGTGTGCCACACTGGGCTCCAACTCTGGTCATGCGTTGCCTCAATATCTTTTGCAGATTCCTCAGTTACCTGTAAAAAATACCAAAAGTCAAGACATAAAAGAGATGCCCCAAACAATATTTTTGTCACATGTCAGTAATCTGAAAAATAACTAATATACAAGTTTATTTTTCTGTTACAAGGAAATTAATCTGCTTGATCATGATTGTGCATTTTCAAAATTAGTTAATTGCATTTTACAAATGACTCATTAACACACAACCCCAAACAGTAAGATGTTGCAATGTTTCCTCACAAGCTATGATTTCAAATGTCTATTACAAAGATCAAATCTGAAAGACTTAAGGTTTTAAAGAAATTTACATGTATTATACGACAGAATTTCATGTGTTGTATACCTTAAGTGCCGTGTCAACCATGTACTCTGTAAATGGCTGTTTAAGGTAGTGATGGTCCTCAGCAGCTGTGTGGACATCAGCCTTTGGGTGAAGATATCTCAGGGCGATATTATGAGATGACTTCGAGCAGTAGTTTGTCATCATGTTGCACACACGATCATTGTAGCCACTCATCTTTCTGTATTTATGTGGCCTTGGATCTTCCAGCATATGCTGAGACCATTTTCCTTTTGACGATAGTTCTGCAGCTGTTACGGGTGATCCTGAATACAATATTTTGATACTACATTGCCAAAATGATCCTGTTCAAAACAACACTTAGACAAATATTTAAAAACTTTATCCACTCCAATATCCAACACATAGGTATTTAGTCATATAGTTTCTCTTTTATATACAAAATCATAAAACCATCATAACTTTGTAGTTGAGGCCTGGGTATGATATTTCCTTGGCGTAATATGACCTACCTTTGTATGATTGTTTTGGCATGTGGAACAACTGCAAGTTTTCCGTACAGCTCTTTCCAACTTGAACACTGCCAGTTGAGATAAAATGCTCAAACATCAACAGCACCGCAGCGATGTGCTTACAGGTTGAATGTGATCCTTTCCCTGCAGGACACTCGCAGTGGGAGTTGACTGGCTCCCCGGTCTTCTCTACCTTCAGCTTGTAATTGTATGTGACCTAGGATAGAGTGAGTAAGAACGTATGGTTATGCACCACTTTTAGCAATATCATAGCTAGAGACACCAGAAATGGGCTTCACACATTGAACCCTTGTAGGGAATCGAACCTGGGCATTCAGCAAGACGAGCAAACACTTAAACCACTAGGCTACCCCATCAACCCAAGGATAGAAGTCGTGCATAAAATGTGATGTATGCACAATTTAATTTCCCATGTATAAATTCAACTTCAATCAGTTTAGTGTCAAGAAATGTATTTTGGATTCACATCATCTTTGAGTACAAATTTCATTATAATTTTTAAAAAAATAAAATTTTATTTTGATTTTATTGTGTGTATATATTTTACCTTGTTTTTCTTAGATGCACTGACGATGCCACTTAAGTATACATCAGTAACTGCACGTATGTGAACGCTTCATGCCAGCACCCTGTCCCCCTCAAACATCAGAGAACCTTTCTCTATGGCCTTGATATCATGGGCAGCTTGGTTGTCTCCTGCCATACCGTAGATGAAGTAACCCTCAATGGTTTCTTTGGAAATGGGAGGCAGCAGTTGACGATGGGAAAGCATCAGCTGTTTAAATCCTGACACTGGCCATGTTGTATCTTCTGGACGTGGGATGCAGACAGATGGCCCAACAAAATCATAATTTCTGTCATAAGATTCAAGTCTGAAATGAAAATTAAATACATTTTAACTTGTGCAACTACTATTTCAGATTTGAATTAGTGCATAATATTATAGGAAAATAATTCATATCATTATCACTGTGACTAATATATCTCATAAATTACATGCATTATGAATAAGCAATGAAACCTGTACAGTTAAACTGTGTGTTTGATTATCTCATGCCTAAATACCCAGAACAGCTTAATATAATTGTTGTGGGCCATCTTGCAAAAATATGCAAAAATATACAAAAAATATTTGAAAATGTGTCTCCAAATAGTATCAGTATATCTGGTATTAATTTGTCTTCCTATATTATCTAAACATATTTTCAGCCAGTTATTAAACATTTCTGGATCAACAAAAACAGATTGTAAAATATACATATATAGGCCTGGAATAAAATACCTGGATGAATGACATAGATTCGACAAGTTTCAGTAATCATTTCATGCGCATAGAAATGTCAGTAAGCACTGCACTGTAACGTATCGTAAGTCATTCAGAATTTCGGTGCCCATATCATGACGAAAAGGAAGAGTAAAATATACAGTGTTAATACAGTATTAGCCTAATACAGTATTAACACTATAATTTGACAAACATTTATATTTTGTGAATACAACAGGTTTCAAAGTTGCATAAGCCTTTTGGGTTTTAATGCCGACTTGCAAGAATTAGATCTATGGGAAAGACTTCTGCCCGAACCCCATCCAAAAGGAACATGTCCAATGCATTGACGCTCAATCCTATTAGTATTATTTTTTTTAAATCTTGGCGTATACGGGCGGAACTATTACCGAACTTTGTTGAGAACTACCGTGGTGATCGTATTCATAAAAAGCCCCGCTAAACTACAAAAGCAATCGCGTGTTCGAAAACAGGTGATAAATAAAAAAAATGGGTTACATACCTCTCGATCAGTTCAAGTTTCCTTCCAGCTGTCAAAGCTTTTCGTTGAAAGAGCGCACGTTTGAGTTTTGGCACGAACCATAGCAGGTACTGGCTAAGCTGGTTCCCTGCTCCCTATGCGCGTCGTCAACTTGTGATATTGGAGACGGGGCCCAGCTTAGTACTGACTGGCCATGTTTACATATTGACAGTAGTGGGTGACCTCGCCTAGATGAACACTACCAAGCTGACTGTCGTTCATTTCCCGATGAACGTCAGTATAGATCTAAGTGATTACGTTGTCAATCGAGCGGAGTCATACAGAACTACTTTAGGGGAATTTCGCAATGTCTAAAAATAACATTAAAAATCATAAGGGACAACTGACGACATCGCTTCAGGCTATGAATGATGCGGGCTTTGATGCCAGACAGATCATATGTCGAAATGAAGCGTCCATTCGAAGCTATAGCAGAGAATGCTCGACTTACCAAAAGAAATCACTGAGCTCCACACTGTCGTGTACTGCTTCGGGAAATCCAACCGCGCCGCCTCAAGCGGTAATCCCCGTCATCAGCAGCCGTACTATGACTCAAACACACACCCAGAGTTCACAGAACGTTAATATCAATCCATTTTCAGCATCAGCCGGGTCTGGATTTCTTTCCAACGCTAACTTTTTCTGGGTGCTCATTTCAAGTGAATGACATTTCCGTAGCCGCCATTTTCTACTGTTTGTAAAACCAAGGGATGCCACTCCAAATGGAATGTTTGGGACGGTTGACGTCACGACGTCACGACTCTCCGCGTTGATGTAGTTCGCTTTAAATTATTAAAGTTTGATGTTTAATGGATAGTTTTGTTATGATTTATGTATCTGTCAATATAAGGATTGAACGTATTTGTTGACGTTCATCAGCTGATGAAGACAGTGACTCACGTGAGCAAATACCTTAAATAAACTAGGCTACGGCGCTACTTTAAATTCGCGCTAAATGATTCTCAGCGCATTTTAATCGCGGAACCGTCAGAGTATTACCTCTAGTACACGCACACCCCTGGTGGATTAGTTCGGCGGTACTGGCATTCCCGACTTGGTACAATGTGTGATACGGGTGCTTGTATTTCGGAATTGGTTATAAAATCATGTTTTTGTTCGTTTTGACTTGTTTGAGAGAGGGCGAGAGAGAGGGAGAGTTGGTTGTTAAAGTCTCACTTTCTGTTCGGTCATATAGTGCCGATTACATTCTTCTTACATTCTACATGCGACCCGTGAAGATCCGGGGTAGAATAGGGTCTTCAGCAACCCATGCTTGCCCCTAAAAGGCGACTATGCTTGTCGTAAGAGGCGACTACTGGGATCGGGTGGTCAGGCTCGCTGACTTGGTAGATGCATGTCATCGATCCCAATTGAGTGGATCGATGCTCATGATGTCAATCACTGGATTGTCTGGTCAAGACTCGATTATTTACAGACCGCCGTCATATAGCTGGAATATTGCTGAGTGCGGCGTTAAACAACAAACAAACAAACATTCTACATACAGTTCCTGGTTAAATGTACAGAAACTACCCTGAGGTTATGAGACACTTGTAAAATCAATGGAAACAGTTTGGTAATAATATCATTAAAATGACTACACTACACTACACTACACTACACTACACTACACTACACTACACTACCCGGGGCCATTCTTAATCACGTTTTTTGTGTGTTTAATGTTTGACGCTGCATTCCATTCCACCATATATATATGAGACCCGTGAAGATCCGGCTCACTGACTTGGTTGATGCATGTCATCGTATCCCAATTGCGTAAATCGATGCTCGTGTTATCAATCAGTGGATTATCTGGTTCAAACTCGATTATTTACAGACCGCCGTCATATAGCTGGAATATTGCTGAGTACGACGACAACAAACAAACAAACCATATATGACGATTTTAATAATCGAAATTGGACCAGACAAATCAGTGATTGACATGGTAAGTATCTGCATTTGGGATGCAATGACACGAATCAACCAAGTCACCACCGAGCTTACCATCCGACCTTTTGGTCACCTCGTACAATCATGGGTGTCTGGCAACCAAATGTTACTCTGAATCCTCACCGCGTGTGCGTGCGTGCGTGCGTGCGTGCGTGCGTGCGTGCGTGCTTGCTATGCGTGCGTGCGTACGTCTGCCGTTGTGGCTCCCGATCCCCGGTTTAGCATGTTGTTACAACCACTGCAAACTGGCCAAGAATCGGCGCGCGACCTAAGGTATTTGGTAGGAAATATAAAATTAAATTATCATATTTGATAAAATGAATATATTTCTGCAGCTCTGGTACAGCAAACTGCAGAATACAGAATGATTATGAGCAGCCGACAACGAGCATAGTTGAATTCGTCTATCCTCATTTAAGTCAGCTGTCATTTCAAATGTGACAAATTGACCCCAAATAACTTTTCCATCATTCTACAAAATGTTCACACCCGCGTCCCGTATTTCAGAAATTGTGAAAGGATGGTGCTACATGAATGGGTCGGAACCGGTTGACTGTTTAGAGGGAGAGCGCTGTTGTGGGAGTGGCACCGCTGCAGAATGCTGTTACGACGGTGAACCTGAGTAAGTACAGTGTACAGTCCACGCTTATAACGATCTGACGTATATATAACGAACTGGGTTTTTTTCCCGTCCGGTTGTTGTACATATGTTTATAACGAACTACGGTTATAACGAACTACGGTTATAATGAACTAAAATTAGTCGCCCTTTTGAGTTCGTTACAACCGTAGTTTACTGTATGTTGTATATGTGTTTTGTCTCAGTGCTTATTCTCATGATCACCGCCCGGAGAGCGCAAGGTCCGGGGTTCGATCCCCGGCCTTTGTACTTGTTGTTACCCTGTCTGGCGCTCGGCATTAAGGGGCTAAAACAAGGACTGGTCGGCTCGGAGTCAGTATACTGTGTCTGAGTGGGGTATTCATGTTAAACTGCGGCATGGTATCTCGGTGAGCTAGCACTATAAATCGGCATCAGTCCGGGCTAGTACAAGCAGCCACACACACACACACACACACGTGCATGCACGTCGCTATATAAGTGCAATAATCTTGGACGCGACGTTAAACCCAATTTCACCTCACCTATTCTCGTGATTAGGCATTGACATTTAATATTTAGTGCTAAACGTGTTACAAAGTTGACACACTTTATGGATAACAACTTCTTTATTCTATTGTAATGGCGACGTTTCGATATAGATTCTTATACCGTTGTCAAGCAAGGCTGACGTGTTCACTTTTATTCCATGGTCTTCTTGGCAGGTTCACTGAGAAAATAAAACACAATTATTGTTGGAAATAAAGAAAATATTTAATATATTGCACATTCAACAAGATATATTAATAAAGGAATAATTTATGTTTCTTCACAAACTGGGCCAGCAACATATGGAAGAAACCATAGTAGTCCATCTTTTAACTTTCCAACCTCATTTGCTGTGTAGCGACCCGTGAAGATCCGGGTTAGAATAGGTCTTCTGCTTGCCGTAACAGGCTGGTCCAGACTCGATAATTTACAGATCGCTTTCATTTAGCTGGGATATTGCTGAGTGCGGCGTTAAACAACAAACAAACAAACAAAGTCTGACCGACCACCCTGTCTAATTCGTCGCCTGTTTTTGATAAACATGGATTTTCCGGGCCTGTGTATTCTGAACATTCATGTCGG